GCGATGCAAGATTACTACGTGGTAAAAAGCCGCTTGATGTCAATCTTAAACGTTCTGTTCTAGCAATGACGCATTATCGCAATCATGCTATGTTGTATCATTAAAGATAAAAAAAAGCCATCGACCACACTTTGAGGCAAAGCAAAACTGAGAATTAAATTTGTATTAAACCTGCCGATGTCAACTGTATATGTTCGATAAATAAATTGGTGACATTCATCTACTTTGTTGTTCAAACAACTAAGGACTGACCGACAACAAGTTTTAACTTTATTTATACGTGTGGACGTTACACAAATGTTATTCAACTTACCTGAAGCGCGATTGATCTTGATTTCATTGTTAAATTGATCCAAGAACTTACTATTATTGTTCCTGGCAAATTAAACTGCCATGAACTACACGGCAAATCCAGTGCGATAAAATCTTCCAAGTCTATTGATGTCAATATTAATACTATGCTTCTTTGGAAGTGGTTACCACATCAAGTTTCCTCATATCCAAATACACGTTAAATTAAGTTATGTTAACGGAATATAATAGCCACATATTATACATAGAATATATATCTGTGCAAAAACCAATAACAAGTCTGTATTAAATTCGAAAGTCACTAGCACTTTTGTCACTTAGCTTGACAAGGTACAATTATTTCCAACATCTCGTGTGTCGGGTCGGAATTTATGTCCGTGCGAACAGACATACTAAATACGTCAGATTGGAATACAAAAAATGAGTAACTTTGATACTAATAACACTAACTCTGCTGCTTGATAAACAAGTAACTAATACAATAATGATGTTTTAATTTTATAAGAATGTATTAAGTTACATGACTGAATGATATGTTTATACGTTAATACTGTAATACTAATACGACTTGCGAGGACTCGGTTATATTAACACATAGGTATCGGGCAGTAATAGGTGTTGACATTATAAAATAATATAATGTCATTTATGACATGGTCATCAATAGACGCGTCGCTTGTAAATGCTGTGGAATACTTCTTTATTACCACAAATGCACCACATCGAAGTATTCCACATGCAGTGCAGAATCCATATAGAGAATAACAATGATAAAAGCGACCATGAAATACTTGTCATCAGACTTGGTAAATCCCTTTATGCGTTTGTTGCGCCATGTAGGCCATTTGGAATATCGTCTAAAGTTATTGTTGTCATTGTACTCAGTTGTTGGAAGCGAGTATATTCTAGCAAACTCACAAATGTTGGTGTACATTCTTTACTGCTTCCAAGTAATAATAACATTATCGTCGTTTTTTGAACATTACCATAACAATTTCCGTTTGCGAATGGCGTAATCCACTCAAGTCTAGAACGACTGGTTGATATTAAGCTGTCAATGGCTGGATTTTGAATATATTTAACGGCTTCTGACATAATTGACAAACAAAGTAACTATAAATTAGCGTGTTAAAAAGACAGAGCTCGCTTATAATCTTTGTTAGATATGTTTCACTTAATGAACGCTGCAATTTTCAATTTTAATGATGCAAGATTCGTATCTTTCAGTAACACGGATATCACAGCCCACTTGAACATTTAAACTCGGGGAAAATTAATATTAACGTTTCCATTTAATGATCCAAAGATAGGAAAAGCGCAGTCACCTGTTCTGTTCGTATGAAATTAGTGAAAATAGTTCTCTAGCCAGGAATTAGGTTTCGACTATTGTAACAATCTGGGTTATTTTCAAAAACCTCAACCCGGTGTTTACAAGTTATTATTATAAAGTCCATCCAATCAATACTTTGAGCAGATTCATAGACAATATGTTCGGGGTACATAAATTGGTGTCTCATTCATTAATATTAAGTCTTAAATAAATAAAGAAACTTGATTATTTTATCGCATGCTTGATTATCAAAATTTTTACTAGTTACGGACCGGGTAACCATCTATGAGGAAATCCTGGCATTGGCATGGGCACAATTGGCATCATTGGCGCATTAGGTGGCTTTTTGTTCTTGGATTTGATGATTCCACCTTGGGCAACACCAACCTTTGCTGCCGTTGAATCTCGTGGAGGCGGAGACTTTGGTCGCAGAGATTCGATTTCTAAACGTGAATGCCCACAACGTAAGAAAGGTATGCAGCGCAACAAACTCTATTCAAACGGGCTTGGAAAAAAAACTTACCAGCTGTAGAACCTAACAAGTATGAATTGGGTTCTGAAAAATATGATGTATATGTTTCGCCATTAAAATTAGAGCTAGATAGCTCACTTCCAATTGTCAGCCACCCAGGGCGGATATTATGATCCTGTTATAAAGGTATGCGATCAGACATCATTATACAATATGAACAAAAGCGATTCATTCTAGTTTGTCCGGTTACCTCGCCAAAGAGTTCTAACCGTCGGCGACCGAGACAGAAATGTTCTATTATATGATAAAGTTCTTCCGGTTTGTTCAAGCCTATAAGATATCAAGATACTTATTAATAAAAAAAAAACGCGCAAGAATTTTCTCAATTATTTGTAACAATATTCTCTCTCCCTGCTTACTTCCAAACGGCGGTTCCTCCGATATTATCACATCTGTATCAACATTACAATGTATAAAATGTCCATCTGTACTCCTTCGTACAGTTCCTTTTATTCCCATTATGCAATGTTCCTTAGTCCTTTGCAGTACCGATCTAGGCTCTATAAACCTACTTCCCTATAAATTCCATACGGAGAAATTAAGCTTTACGAAAAACCGAACTTGGTCTCGACCAGCCAACATCACAAGGTTGACCAATTTACCTCCCAGGATTTGTTCGTCTTAATCCAGACAATGTCTTCACATCTACGATACCCCCATTTTAATAACAACTGACGACCGCGATCAAGACCTTCTGAGTCACCTGACCAGATGAATATGAACGATGGAGTTGCTGCCACATCTTCTATCTTAAGATTGGCGTAAGATAAAGTTAAGAGTAATAACGTAAACTAATAATAGATAAATGAGGGGAAAGCATGCAAGGATATAATCTCATCATATGTCCAATAGTCAGCACCGGTTCCGGCAACTATGGGCGATCGTCGGCAATAACTAGAAACGAAGACTGATTATCAACAAGAATGTCAAACAAGCGACATTCAAAAGAAATAACGAGACTTACTCTTCCAATGGCGGATCAATTAGTATGACGTCAAATTTAGTACCGAGTGACTTTAAATCAAAAGTTCGTAAATCGGTTTTCAAGTATGTCGGTGGCGTTGATCGAGTTGCTACAAGATTATTCTTCAACTTGGTCAACTCTTTCAGCTTGGGATATCTATTGAATAAAGATTGTCATGTATATGCATTCTTAGTCTCCCGTTTTCCCACATGTTCTTTCAAGACTAATTCATTTGAACTGACACTCAACTCGTCAAATCGCTGAGACAGTTCCGTATCCCTAATAAAATTCTGCGGCCTCTTCCCTGAATCAACAAAATGTTGACAATAGTCGTTCCTAATTGTCTTTTCACCGTCTTGTTGTAAACGGTCTGCCTGATTCATTCCATCAACTAAATTTCTTCCTGCATACACATTACGCAGCAGCATTGATCCGGGTAAGCTCTTCCATTTGTTATCTGTATCGTTGGAAGCTTGTTCGCATTTCGAGCGAAACGATTTGTTTGGGTGATTTAGTATTTCAAAGACGACGTGTTTTCCAGTCTTGGCAGAATTCTTTTCTTCATTTGTGCTAGATTTCCGTTGTTCGTGGTATCCGGGAAGTTTACCACGGAATAGTGGGTTTGAAGAAAGTTGTAATCGTCTTTGACGTTGTCGTTCGCGGAAAGCCTTTGATATTCGGCTATGGTCTTCTCTGAAAGTACGGATTTCTTCTTCGAGCTGAAATGACATTTAGTGTGTGTTCCATACTTGGAATTGAGCTGTTATCAGATTCTACTCCACCAATTGTGACTGGCTGATCTACGACCAAATTTATCATCGGATTTGCATCATCGGGAAAAAAAATTACGAATGTATATTAATTAATATCTTTACAATTTACAGTAGTTGGTTATGGCATTCATGTTGTTTCTCGTAGCTAAACATAATTAAAGACGTGTTCAGAAAGCCTGATTAAGCGATAGATATAATCGTTTCTCCCTCAAGGTCGAATGCGTGATGGCAAATGTAGCCCGTGGATTTACGTTAATCACCCGAAAATTATCGGGGCGACTGAATGCTAATTTGAATGGTAATTTAATTCGATCTATTACGACAAAAGTGTCGTGCCAGGTAAGCCAGTAACTTGATAATAGTCAACTCTATGAAAACCGTTCAAAAACACCTGACTCATGCGAATACCCGTAATTTTTTTTCTATACAAGCCGGCGACATCTTTGGTATCTCCTGTTTTATACAAAAACACATCAATCACGTCCATTTGTATTACATCAAACGTTTGGAAGCAATGTTGGCGGCGGAATTTATCTAATAATCAGGTAAGCCAGCACTTTCCGTATGCCTTCTTATAACAGTCTATGTGCTGCTAATTCGTCCCAATTCAATCGAATTGTATGCAGCAGTTATACCGGTCTTTCATTCGTAACCATGCAACTCATGTTGAACAAACTTCGAAATCTTTTCGAAGCAAATCCACGTCCACAGATACTCCTCTCACCAGTGCGAGTCATAGCAAGCCATCATCACAGCCGATCACGCCATCGAAGCCTCGCACTTCATCATCATCATCTTCTTCTTCATCATCATCTTCTTCTTCTCCAAGTACTTCTCCTACCACAAATTCCAAACAGATTTTTGAAGATTGGCAAATTGTCAAAAATCTTTTACAGTATATTTGGCCAAAAGATGATATTGGAGTCAAAATTCGCGTGATTGTTGCTTTAGGATTACTTGTCGGCGGAAAAATCCTGAACGTGCGGGTACCTTTTTTCTTCAAGAACATAATTGACTCTTTAAATATGGATACGGCTCAACTCGGAACGGTGGCTACTGTTGCTGGTGGAATGATTCTCGCGTGTGAGTAATTTATCAAAGTGGGTTGTCAAATAATGTTCTGTTTACAGTACAGTAGTTTGGGTGAAACCTTTTTCATTATTTGTGTTTGTTTTTTGTTTTTTTCGAATATGCAGATGGTCTTGCGAGAATCGGTGCTACCGTGTTTCAGGAATTGCGAAATGCAGTGTTTGCTAACGTTGCGCAAAGGGCCATTCGTAGAGTTGCCAAGAATGTGTTCTATCATCTGCTCAAGTTGGATTTGAATTTCCATCTTTCGAGACAGACTGGCGGTCTAAGTCGAGCTATTGATCGTGGTACCAAGTAAGTGAAGTATCAGGGAATTGGAGTGTCTGTGAGTAAGTTTGTAAACAGAGTTTCTAATCTCTTTGGCAAAAAATTCTTTTGCTTTCAAATTTCTTTTTTAGAGGAATAAGTTTTCTGTTATCTTCATTGGTATTTCACGTGCTTCCGACGGTTCTTGAGATTAGCCTTGTCTGTGGTATATTGGT